GAATGCTCGAGAGCCGTGGCTGGGGCAGGCCAGAGGCTTCGGGCCCAGCGGCGTCTGGCCGGAGCGGAAGCGGTTTCCTAGGTTGCAGCTGTGCCGTTTTCATGAGCAGTCGTGGGGAATCTTACGGCAAGGAAGATCAGACTCCGCGCCGCAGGTACACCACTGGCACACCACCAGCACACCGGACACAGAGGCGCACCGACGCGCACGAACGCGTGGAAGCGCTGACGCTATGCTGGCGAAGCGTCTCCACCTTTTTTCGTCTGCTGGCGGGGCTTGTTTTGCAGACTGGCTTGGGGGAAAAGGCTGTCCTTTTCTTGTCATGAAATCACGCAAGATCCCCCGCGCTAGCCTGCAAAACGAATCCCGCCAGCACACCAAAATCACGCAAAAGTTTGCACAGGTTCCGCGTATGCATGGGTGTCGGTTCGCTTTTGCGCCTGGTGTGCTGGCATTGTGCCCGTTGTGTGCCTGCATCGTGGCGCGCGCGAGCGTGCGTTTCCAGTGGCCACGTCCTTGCAAAAGCGTTATTTATGACAACTCGAAACTCAGGAAGTTCAGAGTGGTCCCCAGCGTCGATCTCCAGAATGAGGAAAAACATGTTTTTGCATGTTTGACAGCATGTTCCCCTATCAAACACGAATGCAAGAAGCACGCGCCCCTCGCAGATTTGCACGCACCCCCCCCCATCATATTCCCTATCCCCTGTCAGATCCTTTCCCCCCACCCATCAGACGGGTTTCGAACAAATGCGACCGCTTCCTGTTTCAAAGCTTGAAGAAAATCTCGGGTATTAGCGATGCCCCCCGTCACTCTTCACTGCCCCCAGATACCTTGCAACCTAAGCCCCACGCAAAACGCCCCCAGCCCCCCAAACAACGTTTGAAACATTGCGAGCGTTTCCTGCTTCAAAACGCAATAACATGTCCGGTTGCAGTGCTACCACCCGCCACTCCCATCCCCCCCATTCTGGCTGAAGCCGCTGCACCCCCAACACTTTGGCTTTCTCACATACCCACACACGCACGCACCTCATCAATACACCCGTCCCTCCCGTCCTCCTCCCCCACACTCCCAGTCCCCCCCTGAGGTGAGCCTCAAATGTTCGGAAACACGTGGCGGTTGAAGAAAGCGCGCAAAAATATTCAAATGGACCACTTTGGGTGATTTTGCCTCGCGGTTGCCCCAGCCGCTGAGCGCGAAACCGAAAAATTCCAGGCCAAGAGAAACATCAAAAAATCGTTACTGAGAAACGCAGCAGCGCCCCACGGGGCGGAACACTGAATTAAAATGTCCGGCTTCAGAAATAATCAGAGCAAAAAAGACCAGACGAAAGATGCCGCCACGAAGGCCGCCAAACAAATCATGGAACAACGATGATCAACGATGCCATAAGGAGACATGCCCAAGCGAAGTTGAAAACAATCAAGGCAAGAGCATAAAACGATGGTAAGGGCGAATCTCGAAATCGATGAAAGCCAAAAACAAAATCGCAAGCACTCTCTAAAATGAGGTTTCGCACAGGGCAGCGACGAGGAAGGAGGAGGAAGATGAGGAGGAGGAGGAGGAAGATGAGGGGAGGAGAAGGAAAACAAAGAGGAGATGAGAGGCGAAGGAGAAAGAGCAGGGGGAGGAGGAGGAGGAGGAGGAGGAGGTAGGAGGAGGGAGGAGGAGGAGGAGGAGGAGGAGAGGAGGAGGAGGGGAGAGGAGAGGAGGAGGAGGAGGAGGAGGAGGAAGATGAGGGGAGAAGGAAAAGGAGGAGGAGGAGGAGGAGGAGGAGGAGGGGAAAAAAGGGAGGGGGAGGAGGAGGAGGAGGAGGAGGAGGAGGAGGAGGAGGAGGCGGAAGCGGACTGGGAACGAGGGAGGAAGGGGGGACGACCATCTCGGGCGCCGCGGCATGGGCCGCGCCTGCGCGCCCTGCTGCCGTCGCCTGCCGGTGCGAGGGCAGGGACGGCAGGCAGGAGGAGGAGGCAGGAGGCGGAGAGAGGAGGGGAGGGGGAGGAGGAGGAAGGAGGAGGAGGCGGAGGAGGAGGCGGAGGAGGAGGAGCGGGAGGAGGAGGAGGAGGAGGAGGAGGAGGGGGAGGGGGGAGCGAGGAGGAGGAGGAGGAGGAGGAGGAGGAGGAGGAGGAGGAGGAGGAGGAGGAGGAGGAGGAGGAGGGAGGAGGAGGAGGAGGAGGAGGAGGAGGAGGAGGAGGAGGAGGAGGGGGGCGAGAAAAACGGGGAGCGGCGAAGAAACGTTCACCTTTTGTGCCTCGTGGGCCCTAGGGAGCCCCTCAGGTGGACAAAACGTGCACCTTTCCTCACCCCCCCATTAATCGCCCCGCCCCCCCCCCCACACACACACACTACGCAACGCCTGAGCCTCGGGGATTCTAGACGCTCCGGCACGGGGATTCTGAGGCTGTGGGACCGAAAACGCGCTGATGTTCGTTGCGATCTTTCCTGCCAGCAGCTGGTCTGGCGGCAGAGGCTGCTGGGATCCGAGGCCTCTTTGCTGTCCACTGCGACATTGGGAGCCTTGCCCCATCTGTCCCCTCATCCTTCAAATTGCACCTTGTCCTCTGCCTCCCCCTCCTCCTTCAACCGAAACGCGTGGAATCGCCTCTCGTTGCGCCTCTTCCGTGGCCGCGGTTGGGCTCGAGCCCATGCTCACAGCAGTTTCGAGGGCCCCATAGGCGAGACGAGGTTTTCCATGGGCGCTCGAGGCAGCGCATGCAAAAATATTTGAGATTTGGCTCCTCACGCCCTCTCCCTCCCCCGTGCTTCCTCCTCCTCCTCCTCCTCCTCCTCCTCCTCCTCCTCCTCCTCCTCCTCCTCCTCCTCCTCCTCCTCCCCTCCTCCTCCCTCCACCCCCCCTCCTCCTCCTCCTCTCCTCCTCCTCTTCCCTCCTCCTCCTCCTCCTCCTCCTCCTCACTCCTCCTCCCTCCTTCCTCTTCCTCTCCTCCTCCTCCACCTCCTCCTCTCCTCCTCCTCCTCTCCTCTCCTCCTCCTCCTCTCCTCCTCCTCCCCCGCCCACTCTCCTCCTCCCCTCTCCTCTCCCCTCCCTCATCCTCCTCCTCCTCTCCTCTCTCCTCCTCCTCCTCTCCTCCTCCTCTCCTCCCCCTCCCTCCTCCTCCTCCTCCTCCTCCTCCTCCTCCTCCTCCTCCTCTCCATCTCCTGCTTCCCTTCCTCCTGCTTCCTCCTCTCTGCCCCCCCCCGACCCTCCCAGGACTCGCAGGGGCGCGCGGCCCGCGGGCTCGCCCCCGGGGCCACCGCGACGCCCGCGATCAAGCGGCTGCTGGTCCCCCGGGCAGGCGGGGCTCGCCTGCGGCCCGCTGGCGCGGCGCTGCGAGCGGCCGAGCGGCGTCGGCGGGAGGGCCGCGCGCAGCGCGCGCTCAGCGGCCGCGCAGCGCCGCGCAGCGCCGCTCAGCGCCGCGCGCCGCCGCGCGGCACCGCTGCGGTGCGCCCGGTGCGCTGCGGTGCGCTGCGCGGCAGCAGGCGCGCCAGCAGCAGGGGCACCGCCGGCAGGGGCACGGCGCGGGCGAGCGGCAGGGGCCCCGCCCGCGGGCCGCGGGGGTCGGGGGGGGCAGGAGCGGAAGCAGGGCGAGGGCAGGTCCAGGGCGGGGGCAGGACGAGGGGGGGGGGCAGGAAGGGGGGGAGGGCAGGAGGAGGAGGAGGAGGAGACGGAGGAGGAGAAGGAGGAGGAGGAAGAGGAGGAGGAGGAGGAGAAAGAGGATGAAGAGGATGAGGAGGAGGAGGAGGAGGAGGAGGAGGAGGATGAGGAGGAGGAGGAGGCATCTCAAAAGAAGAGTCCATGGTGAGCATCACTACCTGGGGAGCGGCGGAATGAACTCAGAGCTGAGCCGCGCGCCATGCGCCATGTCATGCGCAACGGCTGTACAGGCTAGATCGTTGCCAATGTGTGCGCCGACACAGGCCTTGCGGTGGAAGTGGCCCAACGCCGCAACTTCCATCCACGACTTCACGGTTTCCCCATCGAGGTCAAAGAGAACCAACGGGGTCGTCCGAGACAGGCTGGCCAAGGGAGCTCGACCGCGAGCAGAATGACAGGGCCTGCACCGAACAGCACGGAATCGCAGCATCCTTGTGAACGTTTTCTTATCAGACGTTTCGATATTGGGCAGAATGGGGGGGTCCGGACCTCTGCTTTTTTGCGACTGTTTGCAGCAGTGCGTCCTATCGGGGAGACTCCACCTGTCTAAAACAGGTGCCAAAAACAGTCAAGATCTACTCCCGGGGGGGGGGAGGGGGGGGGCCGCGCCGATCGGCAAAACAATGAGTAAGAACACGATCACCCAAGCCAGCACATCTGAAGAGGCCCGCCTCCATCGTGAGCATTGTTTAATCGATCCCTATCCCCACTGGCGTGGCCTGGACCCCACTGGCCGATTTACCCCCACAGGTGGGGATGTACAGTCCCAGCTGGGGCGGTGCAATGGAGGGGCTGAGGTATCATGGCCCGACGGGGATGGGAATCGGTGGAACGGTGCGGACATCGAGACCTGCGCGAGTGCCGGTCACCCACCCATGGGCGCGTGCATGAGACTTCTTCAGAACATCCCGAGCCATGGAGAGACATATATATATATATAAAAGAAAAGCAGAAGAGGAGGAGATGATGATGATGATGATGATGATGATGATGATGATGATGATGATGATGATGATGATGATGATGATGATGATGATGATGATGATGATGATGATGATGATGATGATGATGATGCTGCTGATGATGATGATGATGATGATGATGATGATGATGATGATGATGATGATGATGATGATGATGATGATGATGGTGGTGGTGATGATGATGATGATGAGGAGGAGGAGGAGGAGGAGGAGAATGAGGAAGAGAAGGAGGAGGAGGAGGAGGAGGAGGAGGAGGAGGAGGAGGAGGAGGAGGGGGAGGAGAGCCAGCAGCAGGAGCAGAGGAGCAGCAGGAGCGCCGTCAGGGACGGCAGCGACGGGAGGACGAGTGTGTATCACATCGCATGCGCCTTTTTGGCGGGGTGTCCCGAGATCAATCATAGAGCGGTCGGAATAGGCGGCGCAAGAGGAGCGGAAGAATACGGTGGGGGCATTGGACAAGGAGCCCTTACAGAAGGAATCCCGAATCCAGGGTCTGGAAGCTGGCGGAACTCGAATCGTGGATCGGCCATGGACATCCTCGCCGCCTCCATCACATGAGGAGCCCTCCAGGGTCTAAAGTTAAGTCGTGCGTGTGCCCCTACAGGGGGATGTTCGACGAAAAATTAGAGATACTCAAAACATATTCCAAAATGGACAACAAATACTCAACTAATAATCCCCATACTATTTGTTTACTACTTCTGGATGTTCCTCCTGTCGAGAGGGACGGGCCCGACTTGAGTCTGAAGCCTGCTGGGCACATCCCTCGACGGACGCCCCCACCGTAGACAGACCGGTAGGGGGGAGCTCGGCTACGCGTAAGAGTGACCCTGGGTAAGAGTGACCTCTGGTGCGCGGCTTTTCGGGGGGCCGCGGGGGGCCGAACGCAAGCGCGCAAGACGCCACTGCCGCTTCGCGCTCGGCGCTTGGGAACCCCAGTGGGCCCGCACCAAAAGGTCACGGCGAAGGGTCACTCTTACGTGTAGTCGAGGGAGCGTGGCCAGTCCTGACGTCGAACGTACGATCCCGACTTAAGTCTAAAGCCTGCTGGCGCATCCCTCGACGGACGCCCCCACCGTAGACAGAGAAGTCGAGGAGCGTGGCCAGCCCTGTACTCCGGCCACTGGCAGGGGCGCCCCCGACGTGGGGGCGCCTGCCGAGCCGCACTGACACGACGCACGGCTGCCGCGCCGCACCGACGCGGCGACGCAGGGTGCACTGCCCGAGGGGAGCGCTCGACGTGGACCCCCCTTGCCTCAGAGGGGAAATGCTGCCCCCCGCTTCTACAGTGGGGGCGCGGCCACAAGAAACCCTCGCAAGAAACCGAACCGCGCCTGGGGGGTTCTTCGGTAGCGGGCCGTTTGATTGCCCGAAGTGCAACTGGGAAGAAACCCAGGGGATCCTGGACACGAAAGTTTCTTGGCAACCGCGAGAACCCATGGCGCAACACGCGGCGCGAAGAAACCGAAGGCACCCTGACGAAAGACATCCTGTTTCTTGATGCGCGCCCCCACTGTAGGGGAACGAAGAATGTCATAAACATAAAAACTCGGAGGTCCGCGCGGATTTCTCGGACCCGCGCTGGGGCCCCCTGGCGGCGCCTCCGGCGCCGCCCCAGGTGCGCTCCGCGCGCCAGGGAGGGCGGTCCAGCGCGGATCCGCGCGGACCTCCGAGTTGTTATGTTTCACTGTTCGCTCCCCAACTTGCCTCAGAAGGGAAATGTTGCCCCCTGCTTCGGGGGGGTCTCCGCTACCAGCCCATGCCACACTGGCATCCAGATGGAGAGCCCGTTGACAGGCTAGCGTCTCACCTGGTTTGGTATGGCTCGATGGCCCAGCGACGAGAGCCAGCATCTGCCCTCTCGGCTCCGCTGTGGCACCGACTGCGCCACTCCCGGCGTGGGCGCTCACTGGGTCTGCTGGCACGCCTTTCGGGGATGGACAGACCCCCCTTTAGTGAAACGTGGTTTAGGGAAAACGACCTGAGGCCCAAACCTGGCGGGCGCAAGCCTGGAAAATAACGGCCACGGCGCCCTCTCGAGAACCGAAAACGGACGATTCACTAAGCGACGTGTCACTGTTGGGGGTTCTGTCCGCCCCCGAGCCTTCAGGCTGTCGAGGTAGAACTGGCACTGCGAGGCGTCGCTCATCGACTTGAGGCACTGGTTGAGCTGGTCCTGCTGCGCGACGCAGCCGCCCGACGCAGCCGCAGGGGCCGCTGCTGGCGCCCCCTCGTGGCGATGGACCACCTCCACTGGGGGGTCAAATGCCAGAGGGGCAATGAGAATCGATCCTTCTCCTCCTTTTCCTCCTCCGTCTCCCCCTCCTCCTCCTCCTCCTCCTCCTCCTCCTCCTCCTCCTCCTCCTCCTCCTCTTCCCCTGGGTATCCAGAATCGAGGAAGAGGGATTCACAGCCATTGGACTTCCGGCGCCTGTTTGGACAAACCTCCAGATCCGAATGGGGGCCCTGGAGACCTTCGGAGACCTCCGCTGACTTCTGGATGCCTGTGGAGACCTCCAGCCTCCTCCTCCTCCTCCTCCTCCTCCTCCTCCTGGTCTTCTTTCTGCTCTCCTCCTCGTCATCGCACCACGACGCGTGCTGGCAGGGCGGGCTGGGCGCTTCGCCAGAGGCACCCTCACCGGGACGGAGCCTGCAGCTTGGCATGTCCCTGCCTACACGGATGGCGGGCGACTAGCTTCCAGGTTGCGGCTCTCGCCGTCGCGCCGCGCACGCTGGTCCGAAATGTTCCCGGCAGCTGCATGGATGGAGAGCACGTGGTGCTCAACATGTGGCTCTCGCCTCAGCGCCGCGCACGCTGGCAATAAAAGTTTCCAAATATGGCTCTTCAAATATGGCTCTCGCCTGGGCACCGCGCGCGCATGCCTCGATGAAGTCTTCCAACGGCTGCACGAACGGAGGGCCCCGCGCTTTCAAAATGTCGTTCCCTCTCTGGCGCCGCCACTGGCCATCGCTCGGACGTCCATTCCCTGTGTTTTTTTCGGTTTCGTGCGTGGTTTGTTTCGCCAAATGATCAAGGATGCTCCTCGATGGTCCTCGCCGAAACAAAACTACACACGTCCGAGCGATGCCAGGGCCAATACTGCACACTTGTCCTCAAGGCCACCAGCAATCACACAGTTTGAGGGCGGCTCCTCTTCAGAGCGGCTCACGACGTGTTTGAGTTGATGACCTAAAAGGTTCGGCTACACGTGAGAGTGACCCTGGGCAAGAGTGACCTTTGGTGCGCGGCTTTTTGGGGGCCGCGGGGGTGCCAAACACAAGCGCGCAAGACGCCACTGCCGCCTCGCGTTCGGCGATCGGGGAGCCCAATAGGCCCGCACCAAAGGTCACTCCAGCGAAGGGTCACTCTTACGTGCAGTCGAAAGGTAGAAGTGTTCAAAAGGTGGTTACCGGGATGGACAGTTGCTCCTTCTCCAAATGCGGATCTCGCTCGAGACTGCCTCGAACTCCACCGCTATAACTTTGGCTGCGCAACCATTCTACTGACGGAGGGCACCTCTTTCTTGAAATGGAACCCTCGCTGATAAATTCTGTGAACTTCATAACGCTCTCTTGCATCGGGAAGGGTGAAAGGTGGATGATGTTGGACATTTTCCTGGGCAAAGTTCTCATCTGAACGGGATGCCCAGGGGGCCCTCGTCGTTCAAGGGCGCCTCCCGCAGCGTACAGAATTTGCCGCGGGGACGTGTGAGAAGGCAGCGTGGAACGGGAGGGTGTACTGCAGAGCATCGCTGATGCATGCTGGGCTTAGTCTGGTTTTCCCCATCTTCCCCCTTCTCCTCCAATCCGAAGGTGCGCTCACCTTGCCATCGCTCGGACGTCCATTTCCCGTACATTTGTCGGTTTCGTGCGTGTTTTTTTGCTCGATGGTCCAGGATGGTCCTCGATGGTTCTCGCCGAGATAAAAGTGCACACGTCCGAGCGATGCCAAGTCACAACTGGTCCCCAGACTCCTCCCAGGCATCACAGCAACCAATCTTCCGAGCCGCGCCGGCCAGCCGTGGCGGCGAAAGCCCTCACGATGTTGGCCAGCGTGGACCCCAAACTAGAAGCTGTTGCTCTGAAGATGTACACGCTGCGTGGTGCAATCATGTAGTGCAAGCAACGTTGTGCCAGATACGTGATGCAACCTAAGTGGTGCGAACTATGCAGTGCACTCTACATGGTGCAATCAGCGTCGTGCAAGCTATGTGGTGCAAGCTATATGGCACAAGCTATGTGGTGCAAACCAATCACTTGCCGAACTTGAAGTTGTCAACTCCACTGCTCGCGCAATCATCCCACCCACCCACCCACCCGCAACTTGGTTTGCAAAGCCCATGCGGGACCGAGCACAGATATCGCTCTGGGGTCGTCTTGGAGCCCTCGGGGGCGTCTCAAGAGCGCCCCAAGAAGGCCAGAGAAGCAAGACGGCCGACGACGACGACGACGACCACGACGACGGCGGCGACGACGACGACGCCGACGTCGACGACGACGAAGACGACGACGCCGACGCCGACGACGACGACGAAGACGACGACGACGTCGCCAACGAAGACGACGACGAGGGAGGAGGGAGGACGACGACGGCGACAACGACGACAACGACGACAACGACGACAACGAGGGAGGAGGGAGGACGGCGACGACGCGAACGACGAAGAAGGAGGAAGGACGGCGACGCCGACGACGACAACGACGAGGGAGGAAGGAAGACGACGACGAGACGACGACGACAACGACGACGACGGCAGCGAAATAGGAGGGACGACGACGAGACGCCGACGACGGACGACGACGACGACGACGACGACGACGACGAGGGAGGAGGAGGAAGGACGACCACGGCGACAACGACGACAGAAACGACCACGACGCCAAAGAGGACGACGACGACGAACACGAGGAAAGACACAGGAAGACGTAGGCAACGACGACGACGACGCGGGAGGAGGGAGGACGGCGACGACGACGACGACGACGACGACGACGACGCCGCAAGAGCGCGCGCGCACGCTTTTGTTGAAAAACCGTGTTGCGAAACCTTGTGTTTATCCGTGTTGCGAAACCTTGTGTTTTTGTAGGTTTTTTGGACGCGCGATTTTGAAATCCTTCCGAAACCGATGGGTTTTGAAGGATTTCGGCGTACGGGCGCGACGACGCGCGCGTCTGCATTCGTCCCGTTTTTTGCAGAGGATTCTCGCGACGGCACACGCGCAAGGGCGTTCGACAGATGTCGACATGCGCGCGCGACGCCCGTTTGGTAGCATGTTATGAAAATCTTGAAAAACCAATGGTTTTCTGAAGATTTCGCAAGAGCTCGCGCGTAAGCTTTTTTAGCACATCAGTGTTACGAAACCCTATGTGTTTGTATTTTTTTTGGAAACTCGATTGAGATATCCTTCCGGCACCGAAGGTTTTTGAAGGATTTCGGCATGCGCGCGCGACGACGCGCGCGTGTGCACTTCGTCCCATTTTTTGCAAGGGATTCGTGAAAAAGTGTGATGTTAGAACAAAACATGTCACCGCATAGTGTTTTTTACAAGGGAAACTCAGGGGGGGGGATACCGGCTGGCCTGGGACATTGTGATTTCATACTTAGGATGGACATGTGGTCAGAATCATATATGATTTACATACCCGAAAGGGGGGGCGATAACTCCGGGGGGGGGTAGAGTCTATTCTGTTTGTAGAAAGGAGAATATATGCGGTGATGCATACGTTGTGCAAGCTACGTGGTGTAAGCGATGTGATGCAATATATGTGGTGCAAGCTGTGCGGTGCACACTAGTTGGTCAATCCACGTGGTGCAGTCTGCGAGGTGCAAGCTACAGGGCAGTTTTTAATTCATAGGATGCTTAGAAATGTAAGGTTTTTTGTACATGACTAATGTATGGGTAGATGTATGCATGAACTCATCGTTGTCTTTGATACCAAATCCATGCATTTTTGATACATGATCCGCACGCGGAGCATGCATTAAAAACGGCACGCTATGTGCTGCAAGCCACGCGGTGCAACCACTGCGGTGCAGGCTGTGCGCCCGCTGGCGGGCAGCAGGCAAAACCCTCGGCACACGCCGCGAACACTGGGGCGCCCACGAGGCGCCCGCGGGGCGCCCACGGGCGGGCACCGGGCGAGACCTTGGAGCACCGAGCCAATCCCTGGAGGCAACGGAAGTCCGCCGATCCGGCGTGTGAGCTTCTGAGAGCGTGGACCTGAGCTCGCTCAAGCTTGCTTCGCTCTGCAGGGGGGGGAGAGGGGGTGCGTTATTTCCGACGTCATTGCCGAGGTTTTTCGGCACACGGGGATATTTCCGACGTCATTTCCGACGTGTTTCGGTACCCGGGGACAGGGGGGCATAGAAAACTCCACTTCCGGAGCCCCCCCGGATCGGCGGCACTGGCCGGAGGCCAGCCCAATAGGGACCCCTGAGTGCACGCACTGTTTGGGGAAAGTCCCGAGGACCTCCCGCCCTTCCTCGCTCCCTCTCCCGCACCGGGGGGAATCCCCAGACGCCTCTGGAGGCCCAGGGGGGCCCAAGAGCGTGCAGCGCAAAAAGAAAGATCCTGGAACATCGGCATCTGCTCTCGATCATCTAACCTCGATCCTCGAACCTGGATCCTCACTGCTCCTTCTCTAATCCTCGGAGGGAGGGGGGCGAGTCACAGTCTCTATGGCTCTAGCTGCGTGCCCAGGGCCTCGGTCTGGCGCGGGCCCATCACCGCGTCCACGGCCCGGTTCGCGACGCTCATGCCAACGCCGGCGGCCATGCCCGACGCCATGGAGCCCATGAGCCCAGACATCATGCCCCCGCCAGCAGCGGGCGCCACCTTGGATCCCTCATCCTCCCTCCCCCCGCGTCCTGCTCTGCTGCTGCTCCTCCTTCACCGCCTGCTCCTATCAATCGTGCGCTCCGATCCTCCTCCTCCTCCTCCTCGTCATCCTCCTCCTCATCATCATCAGCATCATGATGAACATCATAATCATCATCATCATCATCATCATCATCATCATCATCATCATCATCATCATCATCATCATCATCGTCATCATCATCATCGTCAACAGCATCATCATCAACAGCATCATCATCATCACCACCATCATCATCATCATCATCATCATCATCACCATCACCATCACTATTACCATCACCACTACCATCATCCTCGTCCTCATCCTCATCATCAACATCAGCATCGCCATCAGCATAACCATCATCATAACCATCAGCATCAACATTAGCATCAACATCACATTCACCACCATCACCACCACCATCATCATCACCATCATCAGCAGCATCATAATCACCATCAGCATCAGCAGCAGCAGCAGTATCAGCATCATCAGCAGCATCGGCGTCATCACCATAACAACCACAACCCCGCCAATCGCCATCACCATCACCATCACCATCAAGCAGAATCATCACCATCACCATCACCATCACCATCACCATCACCATCACCATCACCAACACTATCACCATCATCATCATCATCATCATCATCATCATCATCATCACCATCATCGTTATCATCATCGTTATCATCGTCATCATCGTCATCAGCATCAGCATCATCATCCGCAACATCATCATCGTCATTATCATCATCATTGGCAGCATCATCGGCATCGTCATCGTCATCATATCATTCGGCCGACTCAAACGTAGGACCCATGGGGGCCCATCCAGAAGGACAGAACTTCTGGGGCGCGCCGAAGAACCCAGGGGTTCTGCGGAACAAAAAAAAACATCTCAGGCGAGGGGTTCGAGCATGGGGGTTGCCCCCTGACAGTTTTCGGGGGAGGGGTAAACTCTCGGCCGCGGGGGTGCTCGCGCGTGTGTTTCCCCCCCCCCGCCGGCGCAACCAGAGAAGGAAAAGCGCGTCAGCCCAGATTGCAAATGCAACGCAACGACACTCTGGAAGCAGTTGTACTGAACTTGATTGTTCTGCTGTGATACGACTTGATCACCCACTACAGCTGATTCAAGACCCCCTCATGCTGTCCTTGAGGTCCAGGCGCGCTCTAGTCTTAGCTGCACGCTCGTACACGCTAGTACCAGTTGCACTCAAGTACTAGTTGAATTTAACTCAGAAGAATTGAAAGATTCAAATGACAAGGCCCGCGCGGAAGAAAGAGATCCACGCGCCGCCAGGGGTCCAAGGTTTAACGGGCCGCCTCCAAGAGGGACCCCCGCGAAAGAAAGAAAGGAAAGAAATCCGGCCTGGGGGGTGGGGGTCAAGGCATAAGTCGAGGAGGTGAGATCGTCATCTTCATCATCATCAGCAGCATCAGCATAACCATCATCATCACCTTCATCATCATGGCCACAATCATCACAATCACAGTCATCGTACCTATCATGACTACGACCACCACCATCATCACCGCCATTACAACCACGATCATCAGGATGAGGATCCTGGTCACCAGCATCATCATCATAATCATCATATCACCTCCATCATCACCGCCACCAACATTATCACCACCATCATCATCATCATCATCATCATCGTCATCATCATCATCATCATTACCATCATCATCACCTTCACCATCGCCATCACCATCATCATCATCATCATCCTCATCCTCCTCATCCTCATCATCATTCTCATCATCTGCATCCTCCGCATCATCTTCACCATCACCATCATAATCATCAGCATCATCACCACCACCATCATCATCATCACCATCATCATCAGTATCATCATTATCCTCATCCTCATCCTCATCCTCTTCCTCAGCAGCAGCAGCAGCATCATCATCATCATCATCATCACTACCATCATAATCATCATCAACATCATCATCAGCATAATCATCGTCGTTATGGTTATCGTAATCGTTAGCATCACCACCATCATCATTAACTATCACCATCATCATGACTCTTATCATCTTCGTTATCATCAACATCACCACCCTCACTACCATCATCACCATTATCACCACCACCCACCATCATCATAATCATCATCACCATCATCACCATCACCGGGACCATCCTCATCATCATCATCATCATCATCATCATCTTCATCATCATCGTCACCATCACCATCACCAGCATCATCACCATCATCATCACCACCATCACCATCATTATCATCAGCAGCATCATCATCACCATCATCGTCACCATCACCACCATCATAATCATTACCATCAGAATCACGCCACCAATCGCCACTATCATCATCATCATCATCATCATCATCATCATCATCATCATCCTTATCCTCATTCTAATCCTCCTCATTCTCCAGCTCAGCATCATCAGCATTATCATCATCATCATCATCATCATCATTTTTATTATTATTATTATTATTATTATTATCCTCCTCACCCTCCTCATCATCATCGTCATCATCATCGTCGTCATCATCATCACCAGCATCATCATCCGTATCATCCGTATCATCCTTCATCGCCTCCATCCTCCCCGCTTTCACCCCACCTTCTCCCTCTCCTCCTCCACCCCCCCTTCCCTCCCCCACTCCACCTCCGTCCGCCTGGCCTCGAGTTCAGCTCGCTGGCTCTTGACTTGCGCTGGTCATTCTTCCCCCCTCACCTCCCTCACCTCTCTTTCCCCCTCCCCCGGAGGAGGAGACGAGGAAGGAGGAGGAGGAGGAGGAAGTAATCAGGAGGAGGAGGAGAACGAGGAGGAGGAGGAGACGAGGAGACGAGGAAGGAGGAGGAGGAGGAGGAGGAGGAGGAGGAGGCCCCCCTCACCTCCCGTTCCCCCTCCACCCCCGTCTCACCCCTCTCGCGGCCCCAGCGTCAGAGGCCCTCGCCGCGGACGACGACGACGACAAAGAGAAAGACAAAGACAAAGACGACGACAAAAACGACAAAGACGACGACGACAAAAACAAAGACAACGACGACGAAGACGACGAAGACGACGACGACGACGGGGAGGACGGGGAGGAGGGGGAGGAGGAGGAGGGGGGAGGAGGAGGAAGGAGGAGGAGGAGGAGGAGGAGGAGGAGGGAGGAGGAGGAGAGGAGGAGGAGGAGGGAGGAGGAGGAGGAGGAGGTGGAGGAGGTGGAGGAGGAGGAGAGGGGAGGAGGAGGAGGAGGAGGAGGAGGAGGAGGAGGGAGGAGGAGGAGGAGGACGAGGGACGAGGGACGCGGACGAGAACGACGACGGCTCGCCACCGCGGGGGCGGGCGCGGGCGCGGCCGCGCCGGGGGCGGCGCGGCGGCGGGCGCGGCGCGCGGCGGCGGCGCGGAGGCCGCGGGCGGCGCCGAGCGCTGCGGGGACTTGGCGGAGGTGCGGGCGCCGCTGCTGCGAGGCATGGCTCCAGGCGCTGCTGTCGCGGGCCGGCGGGGGGGCGCCCGCCGTGGGCCGACAGGCGGGCTTCGGACGACAACTAAAAACAGACTCCAAACACGTGCAAAAATGGTTTTAAAAGAAATGGCCCCCAGATGATGTTTTGATTGTTTGTTGAAACCTTCCTCTTGTAGATGGACACGCCCGACTTACGTCTGCTGTCTTAAGTCTCTCCGTGCGGCCCCCCAGGGCCAGCACTCGGGGATGGACAGACCCCCCTTTAGTAAAGCGTGGTTTAGTGAAAACGACCTGAGGCCCAAACCTGGCGGGCGCAAGCCTGGAAAATAACGGCCACGGCGCCCTCTCGAGAACCGAGAACGGACAATTCACCAATCGACGTGTCACTTTTGGGGGTTCTGTCCACCCCCGATTAACAACAACAACAACAACAACAACAATCATTTTACCCGAACGTTCAGTGTTCTCCCCAGTGCCAGGGTTTTCTTGCGACACCAGCCAATACCCCCACTTCGTGGGGGGGCCGTTCAAGCTCTACCAAATATCCAAACGACTCTTCGAGACCACCCACACCCAGCTTCCCGCCCTATGACGTTGGGACACTTCACTTCGTGGCGTGCGGACGACCCTGGCTACTACACTGGCGTGGGGTACACACCCACAGAGGTTGATCACATCTGTTACATATGATGTGGTACACGGTACACGTGAGATGGTACGCAGTGCCAAGATAGTTGGTCACATTTTTGGGGCAAATTCGTGGGGATGCGATTACAGAAGTACATGTGTTACACTGATGTTATACAGTCCCAAGGATGACGCATGCATTGCTCATAGACTCATGGCGCTATGATCCTAACTCTCAGTGCCCAACGCGCGCGTGCACAGCCAGACGGAGGGAGAGAAACACATGTATACAAGGTTCGTGACATACGCACGGTCCACCATGTTGTAAACGATCGCATGCACGGTAAGTTCTGAAATTATACGTATGTACAAGCAGACATGCGAGGGACTTCAGCCCTGGATATACAGCGCGCATGTGGTCACCAAGTGCCGCGTTGAGCTTTTCGGCCGTGTCATACTGCAAAGGTCCAGAGTCAGGGTGATACTTCACGTACCATTGCCTCAAAACCATACCGCTGACAGCGACGGGAGGATCGCTCTCCGAGAGAAGCTGCGAGAGGACCTCCGCAGCGGCCTCGTCGGCGAAGCTCTCCCGATACTGATTGAGTCGAAGACGCTCGCCCATACATTCCTCCACAGCTTGGGCAGTGTTCAATGCCCCCTTGGCGCCCCACTCCGTGCTGAGCCACTTCTGGCATACCCTGGCGTTAGCAGATACAGATAAATGTCCCAGGAGCCACTGCTTCAAGACGGCCCCGTCAGTGGTCCCCTCGGGCATGTCTTTGCGAATACGTTCTCCATACCAGGTCTCCAAGTGGCCAGCGTTCTGCACTTGGACAAGCGTGTCTTTGGATGAATACTGCAGTAGCCACGCCGTTGCGACCCTATCTGGCACATACAGTGGTGGATCCAACTGTCGGAGCGCCCGGCATAATTTGAAAGCGGTATTATACTCAATGCCCAGGTGGCGGATGGCAGAGCCGTGCTGCTCCTCCAGCTCCTTGGCGCTAGAAATACTGACCGTGCCAGTCACAACCCGATACTTGGCCCACCAAGTCTTGCACGCCTGGTGACTAGCATTGATACCCTTTGCCCGGAGCGCCTGATGCAAATAATACGCACTCTCGCAGTCGGCCAAGGGAGGCCGCGACAGCTCAGGGCCATACTGCTCGTGAAGGTCTTTCGCCGTCAAAGCCATGATCCAAGAACACAGGCGATACCTTGATCCGAGATGGCTACGGATATGAGCGTGAGAGGAAGGGGGGAAGCCTCCTGGGGCCGCTGGGGGTCCTCTTGGGGAAGGGGGGAAGCCTCCTGGCGCCGCATGGGGTCCTCTTGAGAGGCTTTGGGGGGCTTCTTGAAAGCATGTTGGGGCCTCTTGGGGGCTTATTGGATCCTCCCGGAGGACTCTTGGAGCCGCTTGGACGCCTCCTGGGGCCATCTTGGGGGCCTCTTGGAGCCAACTTGGAGCCTCTTTGGAACCTCTTGGGGGCCTCTTGGAGTCCTCTTGGGGCCTCTTGGGACCATCTTGGGCGCCTCTTGCGGCCTCATGGGCGCCTCTTGGGGCCATCTTGAGCGCCTCTTGGGGCCATCTTGGGTTTTAAAGATTCATGAAGAGCCCGCGGGTGGATTTTGATATTTTTCGGATGAGAAAGTCTTGCGTTTGCATATGTTTTCGGAACATCGCATCTTGAAATTATTGAAATCACATTATGTTTGGCAGGATTTCGGCACGCGCGCGCGGCGGCCGCGCGCATGTGCACTTCGTGTCATTTTTTGCAAGGGATGGTGGCCCTCGTAGGCTCGCAACCGTTGTTGCAAAAGGTCGAAGCACCTGAAAAGGTTCCTCGCAAAGGCCCTTTTAACAGAAATGTTTAAAATCTGGTGGGTTTCCTAGGAATCCGCAAGAGCGCGCGGAAGGACATTTTGACAATTTTTTTTGAGAAAACCATTGGGTTTTTGATGTTTTTATGTTAAAATCGTTACGAAACCTAAGGTTTTGGAAGGATTTCGTCTTGCGCGCACGAATGTCCACTTTACCTTATTTTTTGCAAGGGATTCTTGCAATTTGATCAAGTAAGAACAAGAATTTTCATTTTCTATTGTTTTTTGCAAGGGAAAACGAGCGTCAACAAAAAACCGGATCCGGAGCTCATCCACTTTTCTGAAGCTTTCGCGAAAAAATGATGAAAATGTAGCTGCGGCCTAGGCGCGGCGCAGAGGTCGCGCACCAGGGGTCCCAACAATAATAATTCTTTAGAAGGAATAATGAATAATGTCACAACACAACAACAACAACAATCACTTTACCCGAACGCTCAGTGTTCTCACCAGTGCCAGGGTTTTCATGCGACGCCAGCCAATACCCCCACTTTGTGGGGGGGCAGTGCAAGCTCTACCAAATATCCACACGACTCTTCGCCACCACCCACACCCAGCTTCCCGCCCTATGACGTTCGGACACTTCACTTCGTGGCCTGCGGACGACCGTGGCTACTACACTGGCGTGGAGTACACACCCACAGAAGTTGTTAAGCCTACGTTCGTACACCCACAGAAGTTGTTAAGCCTTGTTAACCCACAGAAGTTGTTAAGCCTTCCACAGAACATCTGTTGCATATGATGCATATGGTACATGATACACATGATACACATGATACGTACTCACAAGATAGTTGATCACATCTTTAGGGCAAATTCCTGAGGGATGTGGGAATACACAAAAGAGAGAGAGGATATGGGGAAGCCTCCTGGCGCCGCTTGGGGTCCTCTTGAGGGGCTTTGGGGGGCTTCTTGGAAGCATCTTGGGGCCTCTTGGGGGCTTATTGGGTCCTCACGGCGGGCTCTTGGGGCCTCTTGAAGGCCTCCTGGGGCAACCTATGGCGCAACCAGTAGGGGGACGTTTTATTCTCGGCGGCCGAGGGCGCAACCTATGGCGCAACCAATAGGGGGGCGTTTTATTCTCGGCGGCCGAGGGCGCAACCTATGGCGCAACCGCAAGGGATTATGGCCCCTGGCAGGCGCGCGAACCCCGTTGCAAGAGCGTGCGAAAAGCTCAGCATAACGAAACCATTGTTTTTTTTTTAGGATTCGGACAGCGCGCGCGGGTGGAAATTTTGAAAAGTCGTGCAGCTGTTTTTCGAGGACCTACGGTGCGATTCGTGTGATTGTATGATGCGCGGTGGTAAAATTCTTAAGAACCCAATGGTTTTTGGAGATTTCGGCGTGCGCGCGCGAAGAAAAAACGAATGTGTCCCGCATGTATTATTTGACAGGGATGATGGCCCTGGCAGGTGCGCAACCGTTGTCGCAGAAGTTCGAAAAAGTTGCTCGCAAAAGCCCGTTTGACAGAAATGTTTAAAAAGTGTTGGTTTTCCTACGAATCCGCAAGAGCGCGCGGGATGAGATTTTTGACATTTTTTTGTTGAAAAACCATTGGTTTTTTGATGTTGTTATGTTAAAATCGCTCCGAACACTAAGCTTTTGGAAGGATTTCGTCTTGCGCGCGCGAATGTCCACTTTACCTTTTTTTTGCAAGGGATTCTTGAAATTTGATTATATTAGAACAAGAAATGTCATTTTATAGTGTTTTTTGCAAGGGAAAACGGATTACAACAAAACAACCGGATCTTGATGACATCGTATTACCTGAGGCTTCCTCACGAAAATGATGAAAATGTAGCTGCGGCCTAGGCGGCGCAGGGGGGCCGTGCACCAGGGGCCCCAACAATAATTATTATTTAGAATTAATAATGTTCAACAATTACTAGCACGTGGGGACACACCGTTCTCACCAGTGCCAGGGTTTTCATAGGAGGCGGGCAATACCCCCACTTTGTGGGGGGGCCGGTTCAAGCTCTACCAAGTTTCCAAACGACTCTTCGCCACCACCCACACCCAGCTTCACGCCCTATGACGTTCGGACACTTCACTTCGTGGCCTGCGGACGACCGTGGCTACTACACTGGCGCGGAGTACACACCCACAGAAGTTGTTAAGCCTACGTTCGTACACCCACAGAAGTTGTTAAGCCTTGTTAACCCACAGAAGTTGTTAAGCCTTCCACAGAACATCTTGGGGCCTCTTGGGGGCTTATTGGGTCCTCACGGCGGGCTCTTGGGGCCTCTTGAAGGCCTCCTGGGGCAACCTATGGCGCAACCAGTAGGGGGACGTTTTATTCTCGGCGGCCGAGGGCGCAACCTATGGCGCAACCAATAGGGGGACGTTTTATTCTCGGCGGCCGAGGGCGCAACCTATGGCGCAACCGCAAGGGATTGTGGCCCCTGGCAGGCGCGCGAACC